TCTTCACCAGCTTTGAATAGCAGCAGTCATGGGCCAAACAGCACCTAAAGAGAGGAGCCCTGCTGAGTGCTGTTCCCCTCTCCTATTGGGGAGCAGGTGGTCAGCCAACAGGACACTCAGAAAGGCCACCTAGTGAGGGAGTCTGCTGTGGTGGAATGAGCCCTGGTCTGGTAGCCATGATATCTGGGTTATTAGAACCATAGTTTTCTCATCTGTAAATGAGGGGATTGGACTACATGGTCTCTAAGTAATTTCAATTCCAAATCTCGTTCTATTTAGTACAGAGTCTCTGATTCTGAAAACTTACCTTCCTATTACCTCTTCTGAAGGACTGCAAGGTCATCTACAGAAAGACTCCAAGAAGTACTAGAGAAAAACACTCTATAATTTTCCCCTTGAAATGAATTTCTTTGGTGCCCCTGCTTTGTGCCCTACCCATTAATTTGCGTCTCATGTCAGTGCTGCTTGTAGTGATCCCCAAGGAAGCTAAGGTAACCACCCTGGTAGGACTTGGGAATAGCAGCTTACCAGTCAGTAGCATCCTTGGGGGTTCCTTTGCCTCCCCAACCACAGTGGCAACCATAGAAGCCATAGTTAATCAATGCATTCTTCCCTGTGACCTTGCCAATCATGCTGTACAATTCTGACAAGCCCCCTTGTACCTCAAATAAACCTGCAAAAGAGACCAGTGGTCCCCAGTCAGATGTGGCCACCCGTCTGTCTTCTCTATCCACTACTGCTTTAGTCTGTCCTTCCCTACCCTTCATCTGAGGGGAGAATCTTGTCCTCTTTTGTCCTCTCTATTTTCCTTCCAGCCTCTAAGAAGAGGTGGTGAAGAATTAAATTAGGATTTGCAAGGTTCAAGAATGAGGAGTGCTAGGGAGCCCAAGAGATGCTGGGGGAGGCACTTTTTATACAACCCGAGAGTTGTCCTTCCTGGGGCTGATTCCTGGGAAGAGGTCAGTCATGTGGTCACTTCTTACCACAGGCCATTAGTGCAGCTAGCAGGAAGATGGTCTTCATTTTGAAG